TAGAAGTGTTTTTATTTGCAGTAAGCTCCTTAAAAGGCATCTCTGTCTGTGTTGATAGGTTTTTCACTCATAATCACACATTCAGCTCATTATTTACCCTCTTTTATTTGAAAAGCACCTGAACAAAACCTTAGAAAAACATGGAAAACATTTCTTATACGTGATATTGTTTTCTAATTTGAATTTGGACTATGTGAGGCATCATGATATGGCCCCATTGTGTTTTCCAGCTAATATTTCCCAGGTCATCAAAGGCAGTTTCTTGTAGTTTGAAGAAGTGGAGCTGAAGACTTGATTGATCTGATCTAAATGAGGCTGGACGTGGCAGGTTATGGTTGAGGCTGGCGTGGTGACTCACAGAGGGGACTGAATGACTTGGCAGAGCCTTAATGTCTGAGCTGGGGTTTTTTAAGTATAAAACCCCAGCTCAGACATTAAGGCTGATTGCGGCCTGATTGTAGATGTGGTTCAGGTGTGCAGATTCAACAACTGCTGGCACTCAGGAGGACTGGCAAGAGGAGGGAACCAAAAGGCCATGCCCAGCAAACACACAGAGACAGAGTGAACTAACACTGTTGGCATTTGAAGTGTCATGGGAGTCTTTAAAGTGAAAGAAGAAAGCAGCATGGTGCACATAAGGATCAAAGGTCATAGGGTGACCTCACACTGTTGCAAGGTCTGCACCTGCATACAGAAGCACCTGTAATGTTAAAGAATAACCTCAGAATAAACAAATTAAAATCCAACAATTCCCAGCTAACTAACTGAGATAAAAAAAAAATGTGGCTCTAGGGCCATATGACTAGAAAGCCAGGTCATCAACTAGTTTTGTCCAAGGGCCAGATTTTCTAAGCAAACATTGTGGAGACTGGACTCTCAAATAAGGCACCTGATTATGTTTTAAAATGGGTGAGCCAGCTTGAAAAGATATCAGAAAAAAAATAATGTAAACAAATTTTCTGCGGTTCTACACCATCTACAGACGAGATTAGTTAGATTGAGAGTGTTATGAAAATCAGGAATGTATCAGGAACAGTATCATTAAGTGAATTCTGTATGATAAAATAAAAAATAATTAGGGGTTTGACTTTATCATTAGGCCCCCAAATTAAAGAACCCAAACAGTTGTAGATCTGTTATGATGTTAAGATATGAAAAATACAGAATCATGCTACTATCCTTATTCGTTGTACTCCAAAGTAACTTACAAAAGCCCCCAAAGAACCCTGCATAAAGAAAATGTATACTTATAATTAAGAGGAAAACATTGTACCTGACAAATGTAACTGGTTATGTTGAAGATTCAGATTTTCCCTCACAGAATATTCATATGTTTTGATAGTTTTGCTGTTGTTAACCCTATGTCCGTCCTGGAAGAGGGATCCCTCCTCAATTGCTCTTCCTGAGGTTTCTACCGTTTTTTCCCCGTTAAAGGGTTTTTTGGGGAGTTTTTCCTGATCAGCTGTGAGGGTCATAAGGACAGGGGGATGTTGTATGCTGTAAAGCCCTGTGAGGCAAATTGTGATTTGTGATATTGGGCTTTATAAATAATTGATTGATTGATTGATTGATTGATTGATTGATTGATTGAATTATGTCTGCCTGGCACAAACCACATGTTTTGGACAGCTGTGAAGTGACAGAATGTCCCACCATCATGGTTCTTATATTGCCAGATTCCAGAGAGTCTCCCCTCTTCATATATGGCATAATATGTCTACTTCCAACTTGCTATGCTGAGATAGATGTAAAAATGTAGGAATTTAGTAACACAGATTTATTTTTCATTGATATAAAAATTAATATAAAATACAGGCACACTGAAGGGCATGTAATCTGGGTAACCTAGACTGTCATAAAAAAAATATAGCATGTGCCTGTAGCTTTTATAATGATTGTGATATGACCTTAAAAGTAAAGGCAGGAAAAATACCACAAAAAGGCCTAGGGCCCAAAGAGTTTAAACATGGTCCCCTTTACTTAATGAAAAAGGTTTGTTTTTTTGGATTCTGCAATCACAGTGGAGGCATGCAAAAAAGCAGTTTCAAAGTAACGTGGGATAAGTCATTGTTGTACAAATGGTTATTCTGCAGGTAAAGTATTCATTTAAAGCAATCAAGAAAATTTCTCCTCTCATATCCACATTTTAAAAACTTGCCCAGCATTGAAAGTCAATCAATCAATCAATTTTATTTATAAAGCCCAATATCACAAATCACAATTTGCCTCACAGGGCTTTACAGCATACGACATCCCTCTGTCCTTATGACCCTCACAGCTGATCAGGAAAAACTCCCCAAAAAACCCTTTAACGGGGAAAAAAACGGTAGAAACCTCAGGAAGAGCAACTGAGGAGGGATCCCTCTTCCAGGACGGACGAGCAATAGATGTTGTACAGTAAAGTAAACTCAGCTTTTGTTTGGTAACAAGAAAACACCATGGGTTGACTTTTAGGCACTGTTTGACTGCATTTGCCATAATCTGGTGGCTAAAACTTCTGCAGTTTTTCTTCAGGATTACCTCTAGATTAGAAGGTGTCCCTCTCGGGAAATTGTGTGTCTGTTAAGCCTGTAAAGCAGGTTTTTACACTCTAACTATAGACTGATGTAGAGACCTGTCATACTTGTCAGTTGAGAGATTAACATCAACAAACTATTACACTTGTTCTTTTACATCACACACCTGCAAGTCGGACACTTGAATTTTATTATTGTTACACAATTGGCTGCAGCTTCTTGTTACCTTTAATGTGGAACTTGTTCGCTGCAGAAGGTTAAGGCTCAGTTTTTACATTTTGGCTCAGGATCCAATTCGGTCTCACTCTGAAATCATCAAAATCTGGAGCCTGGTCAGTGATCTCCAGTGTCAGATATCAACAACAAAAAGCAGCCCTTTCAAATCCGCATGGTGCGTGGCCAATTGCTATTACTGTTTCACGGTGCCCAGCGGCATCAAGGAAAAAACACGGTGGGACAACAACAAAAGTTAAGGCAGCAGAAGTCCGAGTAGGGTGGACAGTAGGGGTGACGGATGGATTCAACAACCACTGACTTTCACCCAGGAATCTGTTTTTTGCTTTCCGTAAGATTGTAAAGCCAAACCCTGTTCTTTTTTCCTAAACCCAACCATGTGTGTGTGTGTTGGCAAAACATAACTATGTGCAGGTGTTGCTGAAGGAAAACAAATGTCAATTTGTGGTGTTCTACTGATGTAGAATGTTTATTTTGAAAGAGACTGTATGCAAACTGTACATTTCCTGTGAAAACAGAAGTGTATGTTGAAAATAGACACTGCATGCAACAGGCTGAAGTTGACACGGTGCCCCTGAACATCAACAAACAACGCACCCAGGGTACCTTGCATGTTGAATCTGGACGTGGAAAGTCCATGACCAAATGAATATGTGACGAGGTCGGAGTGAGAATGTGTGGCCAGATCAAACATAATTAACCTTTAGCATGTTATTATCAGAGTTTCAGAACCACTTGTTTGAGATAATCAATAAAAAGCAGGTTGACCAATTACACCGACCAATGTGCTTCCTAAATCAGGTTTATTGAGGTTAAAACCTTCTACACTGCACCGAGGACTTCAGTCGCTGGTGGTGGCAGCAGCATGTAAAAAGATGCTTTGCTGGTTTTCAACCAGCTTTGCATCATAACAATCAGCATGTGTAAATGAACTGTGGTATACTTCCTTCCATCTAACCAGTTGTTAGATCTCCCTGCTCCTCTCCCAGCTGGTTCTCGGGCTGCAGCTCAATATTCAGGCTGTACTTAAACTTTTTTGTATTGCTTGCCTCCATGAACAAAGAGTATAAAAGTGGATCCCACCCTTCTCTCTGTTTCTCAAACTTAGACTAAACTCTGATCAAACACTAAATTCAGAAACAGTGCTGATCGAATAAAAAACAAAATTCTGTTCTGAGTTGTCTTTCTTTGCCTAAAATGCCTTCAGAAACATGTTGCTTAGTGTATAACTGTAGTATGAGATTGTTTGTTACCAGCTGGTCGCCATTGTGTCAAACGTATGAATTTGCATTACATCACCCACCAATGGGAGCATTAGTTGGTCCAGTGCAGTGCTATGCATTGTAGTTGTAGGTTTTCTAACTCTGAAGCAAAATCTGATGCCACAGCCCTTTCCCTCTGTGGTCTCTGGTCATGTAGCACCAATGGCAAAAGTGTTTGTCTTCCTACTCTACTGCCCGTACTTTTTAACTACACACTGCTGATTTATGCCTTTTATTATTCTACTTCTTTTCTTATCCTGACTGTTCAATGTATTGAGCCTGTTTTTATTTTATGTTACTGTGTTTTATTATTATCACTATCATTCTCAATTTCTATTTCCCTTTTTAATCGACTGTTTTTATTGTTTTAAATTTTGTCTTGTTGCTTTTAATGTCTCTGTAAAGCACTTTGAATTACCTTGTGTTGAATTGTGCTATACAAATAAACTTGCCTTGCCTTGCCTACAGCATAGACAGCCCAGTTTAATGAAAGTACCATTGTCCCAGTGGTCAAACACTTATTTAAGGGAATTTGACAGTGAAGATTTGTAAAATCTGTGAAAGGCCCCTTGATTTGCTTGTTTATTACCCCTTTAGGTCTGCGACTCTATCACACTGTAACTAAAGACCTGTTGGGATCAAAAATGCTAACAGCCTGTCTATATTTGCCCAAGATCCTCAAATTTATTTGACTGACTGAAATGTGTCACAAGATTTCATGTTAGTGGCTCCCCACTCTGTACATTGTGTTAGCCTCACAGGAGGCAGGCTTCAGTATATCAAATGATTAAATAGATTTTCTAGAGTAGTAGTTTTCTGAATAGCTTCACTGTTGCATTGAAAATGGAAAAGTGATTATTAGAAAACATTATATTGTGGCATTCACCATGTAAAGACATCTCTTTATAATCTGTGTGTAAAAATGTTTAAACACTTTGCCCTGAATCTGTTACTCAATCACTGTGACCAAGTACATTTTTCTCTCTAAATACAGGCATCATGCAGACTCTCTACAGCATGTTTACCTCACGGGAGCCAGGCTGCAGTATCTTAAGTGTAACGATGAGCTTAATAGAATTTCTAAACCAGGGGTAAAAAAAGGCATAGATCACAGGATTCAGACAGGAGTTAAAGTAGAACAAACAGATTACAAAGGCAGCAGATGAAGCATTGAGTAAGGTGTCTTGGCCCGACAGTGCAACACAAAAATATGGACAGACACATATTAAAAATACAACAATGACAACACCAAGTGTTCTGGCTGCTTTCAGCTCAGATTTGTTAACAGTTACTTTCACTGATTGATGGAGAGTGACAGCTGCAATATAAAAACGCATGGCACGAGCCTGAGACACAGCCACCACAAATACTCTCATGTACAGAACTATGATGACAGTGACAGGACAGATAAAGGATAAAAACAGATCTGCAATTCCTGCAATGTAGTTAATGACAACCACACACTCTCCAGAGCAGGAATTATACCTGCCTGGTTGTTCCAGGTTATCCATCAGCAGCAGACTGTGACAGAAAGCAGAACACATCCAACACAGACAAACACAGACTTGAACTCTTTTTTGTGTGACTTTGGTGGAGTAATGCAGAGGATCACAAATAGCAACATAGCGGTCAACAGATATGAGCACCATGGTTCCTATAGAGGCAGAGGTAATAATATAGTCCAGAGCATAATACAGAATACACATGAGGTCACCGAGGAGCCAGCAACCATCTATGAGCATAATTTGGAAGAACATGAGGAGGCCCACAAAGAAATCTGAGACCGCAAGAGAGAGGAGGAGGAGGTTGGTCGGGGTGTGGATCTTCCTGGAGAAATAAGAGAGCAACATGCTTATCATTATTTGTAGCATCAACTGTCAAAACATCAGATAAAAGCCATGACTGAAACATAAAATAATCTTCCCTTTACAGTGTAGGATAATTTTTATATTCCATTACACAAACAATTACTGTCTGTTCAGCTACCAGCTTTTTAAATTAATAAAGTATTTGAATACTTGAAGTGAGAGATGGAGATGATGACCAGCAGGTTGAGAGTCACAGTGAGCACAGAGATAGAGGACAGTAAAACATAAGTGAGCATGGATACGGAGTGAGAACGCATGGCCTTCCTGCAGGAGGAGTTGAGGAGTTGTGGAAAGCAAAGTTCAGCTTCATCAAAGGTTTTCATTCTCAGAAAGAGGAGGAGACGAGAAGCTGCTGAGCTCTGTTAGCTTTCAGCCTGAGGCTCTGTAATATAGCCGATTTACCACTCCCCCCCGCTTCATCTTTCTCTCTGGTAATGACTGTCTTTCAGTAGGCGTGATTAAACTTCTCCCTTGTGTAATTACCTCTATCATCGTTAGGTGTCTATCTTTCTCTCTATTTTACACCGTTGCCCCTTTTCTCCTTACATCTAAACAATGACAATTTCCATGATGCCCTGCTTTGGAGACCAGCAGAACAAGGGGTAATGCTGCTTCTGGACACTATTATGTCATGAACCCGAATAAGCTCTTGCTGTATGGATATGTTCAAACTTGCAGAATTGTTTGTTTTAAATTGGTAGATTCGGTGTTCTGTCATGTCTCTGTGAACTCAACCACTTGTAACCCCTCCCCCAGTCAGCCATCCCTGTAGTCATCACTTATTCTCATCCAGGCCCTGCAGCTGTCACTGAATCCCTGATGGCCCACCTCAGTGGCCACCTCTGATACTTCGTCACTGACCCCTGCATATGTTTGAGATCTCTGGTTGGCCTCAAACCTCCGCTAGAGCAGCCGTTGGACTTACACATGCAATATAGTCAGGATGGAGAAAATATGTCCACCTTAAGCCGTACCTGACTCCAGTGAGCCCAAATGAGGCCCCTCTATGGCCCCTCGAGGATCTGAGAAAGAATGAGAGAGGGGGATTAGGGCGGAAACAGTCGACTTTTAGAGTCATAGGGCTTAGTTTATTCATGCCGTACAGTGCCAGAAACAGGTTGTGATGATGAAAATGAAAAAAGGCGTGAAAATTTTGTCATAAATTGTGAAAAAGGGGGAGAATTTTGACCGGGGGAGGCAATGAAAAACAAGAGTCTCCTGAGAAAAATGGGTGGGTTGGCAAGTATGATGAGCCCCCTCTTGCTCCAACATGCATGTGGATTTTGAACCCACTGCTTATCCCAGTCTCCAGCGTGATGTCCTGCCTTCCTCATTAATCAGCCAGTTAGCTCATCTGTTACTCTTCCAAGTATCTCAGTATCCCCCAGTGCCTATTTCTGTGACCCAACTGAAACTCGGGTTTGCAGGTGACTCTGCCCTTCAGGCATATAAGTCTTCCTGTGTGGTTCCATCTGTGTGTCTGGCATCTTGCTCTCTGCCCTGAGCTGCTCCACTTATCTGAGCCAGCAGAATTACATCTTTTGCAAAGAACAGATCAACAGTTCTGATGTCCACAAACTGGACTCTCTCCTCCACCTGACTGCACCTTTAGATCCTATATTCCAAGAGATCTTAACTTTGTGCCAAGAATGACTCCTCCAGTGCAATGACATTTCAGTAGAAAACCTGTCTAAAGGGGCCCCATGTCCTTCTTGTAAGTGTTGCACAAGAAAATAAGACAGCTTTACCTTCTCAAAGTTCAATTTTAAAGTCAGTAAAGGAAAATTCTCTCCCTCCAAGAACTGACACCATAACATGGTGGAGGGGTTTGCGTGTCCCTATGATGCTGGGAGGTGTGTTGTAATAGGTGTACTTGGGACCAACACACCATAGGCCTAAGATCGATGATCGACTTTTGAATGTATCATCAGATGTGAGGCAATAAGCCATATGACACTCGAGTGAAGAGAGAAGCAGAGCTGTCAACTGATTACCACGTGGTGGTGAGTTGGATCAGATGGGGGGTGAGGTGTAGTGAGGGTGAAATGGGAACGTCTGGCTGAGGCCCCTGCCCACAAGGTCCACAACACCTTTCAAAATATTTTTTTTTATGCCTGCCTGTCCTGAGAACCCACTGGTGGACATCAGCAGTGAAGGGAGCTGTAAGGCTAAAGAAGGGGGCCTTTAGGGCTTGGTTTGCACAGGGGTCTCCAGAAGCAGCAGACAAGTACCAATTGGCCCAAAGGGCTGCAGCCTGCAATGGTCGCCAAAGCAAAAACCTGGGTAAGGAAGATGTTTGGGGAGGATATGGAAAGGGACTTTTGGTAATCCTCAAGGAAGTTCTAGCAAACTGTTAGATGCCTCAGGAAGGGAAAACAGTGCTTGTCTCACACTCCATTCAGCTGACCTGGACTGAGGATACTGTCAAGCAGTCGAAAGAACACTTTGAGAAACTGCTGAACCCAGTCATCACATCCTCTATGAAGGAGGCAGATTCTGAAGACTCGGGAGAATCCTTGCCCCTATCCCTGGCATAGGTCGCTGACGTAATAATTNGACATCTCTCCACTTTGTGCATGTATAGGTCCTGTTTGTGCATGTGTGTGTCTTTCGGACCTGTGTGTAATTGACAAGCAAGAGTGAAAACATTGGATTTCTCCTCAGGGGGATTAATAAAGGAAATAAACTTAACTTAAACTTAAACTCTTTACCATTGCAGGGCAGCAAGAGGGGTCATGAAAGTTTGCCCATCCAGTCTACAAGAGTTTTGTGGACTTCTGTTTGTGATGTTCATGGATAGGATCTAAAGGCACAGCCAAGAGGAGGAAGGGGTCTGGTTGAGGACCTCAGAATTACATCTTTGCTCTTTGCATATGATGTGGTTCTGTTGACTTAATCAGACTGTGACCTCCAGCATGCACTGGAGTGGTTTGCATCCAAGTATGAAGCGGTCAGGATGAGAATCAGCACCTCCAAGTCTGAGGCCATGGTTCTCTGCCAGAAAATGGTGGAGTGCCCCCTCTGGTTTGGGAGAGAGTTCTATCTTACACAGGCTCCACCTTCTACTTGACTCTTTGGGTAAAACTACCCTAATCATGAGCAGGTATTCACGCACTGACAAAAAGCATAAATGTAGTCAGCCAATCAGGACATGCCTACCCTAACATGTGCGGACTGCACATATAGGGAGGGGGATTCTCCCTGTCAGTCATCCTTTTCCTCTTCAGTGATTGTGAGTAAAACACTGAGCAGCTTTCTTCATAGATGGAGCGGGCACCTCAATAACCTCAACGGTGCTTCAGCACAGACCAAGCAGTGAGCGGTGTTCAGCAACCATCCTGCGAGGCCTGCCAGGCAAGACCGGTCTCACTCCGAAGTCGTTGAAATCCGGTGCTTGGGCAGTGACTTGCAGCTTCACAGACCAATGAAAAAAGGTGTCGTTTAACATCGGCATGTTATGCAGCCGGTCGCTGTTATAGTTTAATGGCGCCCAGCGGCATCGGGGGAAACGTGGCGGGAATAGGACTTAAGAAAAGGCAGTGAAAATCCAACTGTGGTGGGCGGGAGGGAGAGGTGGTGGATGGGTCCAACAACCACCGACTTTCACCAACTCTTGCATTCCGTAAGATTATAAAGCCAAACCCTGTTCTTTTTTTCTAAACCCAAACATGTGTGTTTGTTCAGTCAATAATGCAACAAAATGCATGGAGTGCTACGTGGGTGTAGAAAAGGGTGTCCCTCTGGTGCTCTTCAGTTTAGAGATCCAAGTAGAACTTATACGAAGAGATCTGAGGCACTCAGGAGGGTGATGATTAAAAAGCCTTTATTAATACATGGCTAATCTAATAAAAACATGCCAACGTGTTTCAGCCAAAAAGGCCTTCGTCAGGGCAAGGGCAAAATGTTTGTCAGTCAGCTCAGTTCATTGTTAAATAAGTCAGCTGCTCAGTGTGAGCAGGTAGGCGGTCACATGATCAGCATGACCTACTGATGACAGAAAAAAGGGGTCAAAGATATAACAGACTCTGTACAACAGGGGAAATCTGCACAACACAATTTAACATCATTAATTCAACAAATAATCAAGAAAATAAACATATACTTACTACAGTATGTATATGTTTATTTTCTTGATTATTTGTTTGGCTGAAACGCGTTGGCATGTTTTTATTAGATTAGCCATGTATTAATAAAGGCTTTTTAATCATCACCCTCCTGAGTGCTTCAGATCTCTTCGTATAAGTTCTATGTGTGTTTGGTGTTGAAGAAAAAAAAGGTCAATTTGCGGTGTTGTACCAACATAGTGCTTTTATTTTGAAAGAGACTGTATGCAAACTGTACATTTCCTGTGAAAACAGAAGTGTATTTTGAAAACAGACAATGCATGTAACAGGCTGAAGTTGACATGGCGTCCCAGAACGTCAACAACCAACACACCCAGGGTACCTTGGACGCCATATGTGGACGTGGAAAGTCCATGACAAAATGTCAATATGTGACGAGGTCGGAGTGAGGATGTGTTGGCCAGACACTGCCCAAATTCAGACACCAAAAGTGATGGAATCATTTCAAATGCCTCAACATGAGGCTTTGCCACCATGAGAGTAAGCAGGAGCTTGAGACTGATGAGGTTGAGACCCCTGCTCCAACTGCCACAACCTGCCACCACCTCAGGTCACTCCCACCGGTGATGGCGGTCTGCAGCGGGCCATGTTGGGCTCTTCCTGACTGCTCCCTCCTACGCTGGTAAGTCACATTTGTCACCTATTACCTTTTACCTATTGTTTTGTTTTTTAAT